ATAATTTATTAAATAATTTATACGAAGATTATAAATTTTTTACTAAAATGTGATACAATATAAATAAATTTAGTTTAAACTACTAGTATTCATAGAATTATTTGTATTTCGTGATTTTAAAGATCTATTATTCAAAAAACTAGCCGCTTCTTCTAGTAAATATTTAACTTCTTTTCTACGTTTTCTTTTTAAATTACTACTATATTGAGTATAAATTCTTCCCATCCTTTTAATTTCAGCTTGTTTTTTTTCTTTTTCCAAATCCATAATTACTTCATTAATAAAATCAATTCGTAAAGGTCCTCCGAATAGATGAAATCCGGCTTTTTTATATTTATCCCAAACATCTTTTGATGTTATAAAATGTTCCGACAAGATAATAACTATTTTTAAAGAACAAATATCCTTTGAAGATCGTAAAGAATAAAAAAAATTTTCAGCTAATTGATTTGCTTCTTCGTAAATATTATCTATATTCTCGGTTCGAATAGAATAAATACGAATTGGGATATTTTTAATTTTCATATCCGAATAAAAAATATTATTGTCAAATTTATAGCATTCAATATGAATACCAAAATGTTGTAAAATTTCAAGAGAAAAAAATTCCATATCATATTTTAAAAAATCATGTGAATTATTTTTATTTTCCATATTGTTAATAAAATATATATTTATTTGAATATAATAATATTAAATGGATAAATATATAAAATAATAAAAAATTTATGAAAATTCATATCTTAAATAATAAAAACATATTATTAATTTATTGCTAAAATTCTATATTTCATTTTTAAACTATTAATTTCTTTTTCTTTTGATTTATTTAACTTTTCTAATGATATATTATAATTAATTAAAAGCATTTCTCGTTTTTCTTTTTTTAAGTCATCTCCATAATCTTCATTATTATTCAATTCATCTATATTACTTTCATAATTAAAAGTACAACACTCTTTAAAATTTTCATATTTTGTTTCTAAAATCGCCAACTCATTCTCATATCGAAGTCTAAGGTCAACACGAATACAGATAATCGTAAAAAATATATTCAGTTCATTTTCTTCTTCTTGTCTTGTAACTTCTCCGTTTTCATTGAATTTTTTTTTATTACAAAAAGGACATTTTGTTTCTTTGCCATTTTTTTTCTTTATATTTTTAACACAAGATTTACATACGTTATTCTTACAATCACATGGTAAAGGATAAATAAATCCAGTATCACTTGACGAATTATAACAAATATCACACTGGATTATATTATTAATATCGATATCAGGAATTTCCATCTTATTCGAATTTTTCTTAGCAAATTTAAATTTAATATAGATTGTCTATTATTTATAAATATTGTATTAATAATTTGTAAATAAAATAATTAATAATTTTGTTTTCTTTTTCGATAACATTTATGAAATTTTTTATAATATGTCGATGATAAAGGTTTGTAACATTTATCACATTTAATCTTCTTTTTGTTGAAA